GAACTCTGGGCCTGGGCGCTGTCCCTCAGCTCTTCAGCTCAAGGCTAGCGCTCTACCACTTGAGCCACAGCACCACTTCCGGCTTTTTCTTTCTTTTTTTTTTGCTTATGTGGTGCTGAGGAATCAAACCCAGGGCCTCATGCATTGCAAGGCAAGCACTCTACCATTTTATTTAATGATATATATAATTAATATAAAATATATGTTACAACATTAATACTATAATACATAATAAAATACATTTTATTATCCTTAGTTATATAAAGGAGTAACCATTCAACAAATCAGTTTACAAATACAATGGCAGCAGATATTTCTTGAGCATGAGCCAGGCCTGGGTCACCAGGCCCAAAGGTTCCTGGCTGTGGCCCAGCCCTGGTAAGGGCTGTAAGGAACTAGGGGAATTTGGAGTGAGAATGTCCCTCTTCCTGGAGGCAGGGCTGGAGGCTGGCCCTGCCATTGGACTTGAGGTCACTTTGAAGGTTGTGCAGCAATTTGAAGGGAAGCAGAGAGAAGGTGTCTGTCTACTGCCCTCCTGACTCCTCATTCATGACTCCTCGAGGGACCTCTCTCCTTCCTGGACTGGCATTTTCAGGCAGAAAGCCTTCCCAGGACAGATCCTGGAGCTACAGCACAACTGCAGATGGTGGCCAGGCTCATGGGCTGCTCAGTAGACAGCTCTGAGCACCGCTGCTGCTCTGCCAGTGCTAGCTTCTGGAATCCATGTAAGGAAGAAGGTAGAATCTGCCTTTGAAATGCGTGCAGGCCTGACACAGTGGTGCACACCTATAGTCCCAGCTACTAGGAAAGCTGAAACAAGATGATCACCTGAGCCCAGAAGTTGGAGGCCAGCTAGACAACATAGGGAGACTGTCTCAAATCCAAACCAAACCAGCCGGGCATTGGTGGCTCACATCTGTTATCCTAGCTACTCAGAAGGCTGAGATCTGAGGATCACAGTTCAAAGCCAGCCTGGACAGGAAAGTCCATGAGACTCTTATTTCCAATAAACCACTAGAAAACCAGAAGTGGCACTGTGGCTCAAGCAGTAGAGCCTCTCACCTTGAGCTGAAGAGCACAGGGACAGCGCCCAAACCCAGAGTTTAAGCCCCACAACCAACAAAAAACAAAAACAAAAACCAAAGCACACAGAGCCCTGTAGGATAAGATTGAAAGCCCCCTCTGGAAGCAGGACAGTCCCCTGCCTGCCTGTCCCTTCCTTGGCTTGCTGCCTTGCTAAGTGCTCAGGAGCACAGAGTGGCTTTGGATGAAAAGGTAGAAATTAGTCCCAAATGCACATGCATAAGCCCAAGAGGACTGGCGTGTTACTTCCCTGCACTGGGGTGCCTTGCCCTTCTCTAGTGTGGGTGAGGATGGGGTCTCTGGGGCAGGAGTCCTCAGAAGTGGCCGGGACAGCCTTAAGTGAAAAAGCTAGGGACTGAGGCTTGGGCGGGGGAAGAGGCTGAGAGCTCATCCGCTCCCCTGTCCTCCGCAGGCCTTGGATGATGCCAATAAGGGTATCATTGAAGAGCTGAAGAAAACTAACTACAGGGAGATGCTCCAACAACAGACGGGGAAAGGTGAGTCCCAGGAGCTCTGGTGAGGGCAGCTCCAGGCCAGGGGTAATGCTGCCTCCCTAGCCTTCTGATTCACTCACCACCAACAGCCTTGTCCTTTCCTGAAGCAGACCCGGATGAAGATTCAATTCACCTTAGGGGTAGGAGCCTGCTCCCGGAACCTGCTCCTTTATGTCTACATCAAATAATTGAGCTCTGGCTGTGTGCCAGGAAGGTGTTAGATTCTGGGGAGATGCCCTCATCTCCCCTCCTGATGGAGCCCCCAGCCGGGGGGGGGGAGGAGGAGGGGAGAAGGCAGTCATCAGTACAAGTTTCCTGCATTGCAAGGATGACAGTGGGGGGAGGGGGCGGGGGGCAGTGGGGCTTGAGCCTGGGAGGAGAGGGCCTGGGAGTGGGGTGATGAAGGAAGCTTAGAAGGGAAAGAATTGTCAGCCTTTGGCCCCCAAAGATGCTGCCCAGCCAGGAATCAGTGCCTCACACCTGTTACTTATCCCAGCTGCTCAGGAGACTGACATCCAAGGGTCACAGTTCAAAGCCAGCCTGGGCAGGAAAGTTTGTGAGACTCTTTTGGTAGAAAAGCCAGGAATGGAGTTGTGGCTCAAGTGGTAGAGCACCAGCCTTGAACAAAGAAGATAAGGGACAGCACCCAGGCCTTGAATTCAAGCCCAGTATCACGCGCACACATACATGCATGCACACGCACAAGTGCACACAGTGGTTCCCGGTCTTGACCATCTGGCTTGAGTACTCATACGCTTACCACAGCTCCATACTATTTCTTATAATAGCTTCTGTCTGTCTCTCCCTGTGGGGTCCTCGTCCCAGCCATATCACAATGGAGAAGTGTCTAGGAGGACAGAGGCCACCGCAGAGTCGTGTGTAAGCCCTCCACGTGCCAAAGGCTGCACTCCTTCCTGATCTCAGCAACAGGAAGTTCCTGGACATCAAAGCAGCCAGATGACAGCCCTTTGTTATCCAGTGCTTGCCACGTGGCAGGGGGATCCCTTCAGAGTCGGGGCCAGGCCTGTGCTCCCACACCCCTGGCTGCTCTGAGAAGCCACAGGAGGAGACCGCTGGAAAGCCCCAGGTGCTCCAGGCGGCCTCCCCTTTCCTGGTCCCTGCAAGCTGCTGGCAGCTCCTGGAGCTTCCTTCTCAGGACAGCAGGTGGCAGCATTGCTTATCTTTTTAACTTCCAAGCCTCTGGTGACTTGTGACCAAGTGAAGTGACTGCAGGGAAAGAATGAGTGAGACTCAGGAGGGGAGCCAGGGTCCCGGCGATCATAAAACAGCTGCTCAAGCTGCTCATGCGCATATAGGAAAGCTCCTAATGATGTTTGTTTCCTAGGGACAAGGGGTGGTGGCAGATTGAGGACGCTGAGGAAAAGAACCTGATGTCATTTCCTAGCAACTGTGCTTCTCCTTCCTTTCCCTTTCTTGGTTTTGAATTTGAACTCAGGGCCTTACACAGGCTTCCTAGCACTCTATTACCTGAGACATGCCTCCAGCCTTCCGCCCGCACCCGTATGTGCTTTTCAGTCACACCTGTCCTGGGTTCAAGTTCTGGCTCTGCTATTTTCCACTTGCACAGTGTGGCCATTGGGTGATTTCTCTTTTGTCATCTCAGTTCCCTCGACTGCTCCTTGCTGCAGGGACACTGTGCAATTTCATGACGGTGGTCTGGTCTGGTCTGCACAGCCACCCACCGGAGGCCAGGGCAGGGTGGGCGCTAGTACCTGAGCGGTAGTGCTGTCAGTGCCAAGGGACCGAGCTTGTGACAGTGGTCCTTCTCCAGGGGACCAGGTGAGGAAGAGATTTTCATAGTCTTTCTGTTGTTTTTCAGAAGAGGACATGTCATTGGCTGAGCTGTCAACATTAGCGATAGCAAAGGACAAGGAGTCAAAAAAAGGACAAAATGACACCATCAAGGTGGTAGAGTCGTGGTCCAGAGAGCAAATGGGGAGTGATAAAGAGACAGACGAGGACGATTATGAGGAGGAATCCAGGGACGCTCTGCAGAAAGTGGAAGCCCAAAAGGACCAAAGAGTCCCCACCGATTCAGAAGACAGGATGCAGATAGACTCTGACAACAAAGACTCAAAGGACATCCTCAGGAGGTCTTCAGAATTAGACCAAAACCTCACAGTAGAATTCAATGGAAAGGATTCAGAAGTAACAGAGAATAAACCTTTAGAAGTCAGCAGAGGAGAGACAACAGTAGGGAAAACAGGAAGCAAAGGGGAAGTGAGAGACCCTGAATGAAATACCGAATGAAATCCCAGAGGATCTGTGAGTGAAAGCTTCCTAGGTAGCCATGAGCATCCAGAGGTAGGGG